TTTTGCATGAGCTTAGTGAAAGTTCATTGATTTCTGAAAATGGGGGGAAAGGTTTGTGAATTAAGAGAATGAGAGAGAAAGAGAAGAATGAGAGCGAAAAAGAGAAGGAAAATAAGGGGTATATCTAATGTAATAGGAAATACTTTCCCACTGATTCATCGGGTAAATTTGTGGGAATTGTCTTATATAAATTCAATTTTTTTGGTGAAATAATTTTTAAGCTCGCGGGTTTTTGGACCAAAAATAAGAATTCAAAATTTTGAACTTTCCACTGCAGCAGTGGGAATATTAAAATAATTTTTTATCTTAAGTTCCCACCGTTTCACTGGGTAGATTTTAATAATTTTATTTTTAATGACATTCCCACTGATTCGGTGGGAAACAAATTACGCGTTTTTTTGCGCCAACTAGTTCCCACTTATAATCCGTGGGAACGTTTTTTAAAAAAAGGTAAGAGAAATATTTTCCATTTCCCACTGAATGTTTTTATATTTCAGTGGGAACTTCTATTGATAATATATCTGTGGGAAATTTCTCTGAAAATTTATATTTTTCTAGTAGTGAACTTAAATACCAATCTTCAAAAGCCTGTCAAATGTGGCCAATCTTCTCTGTCGTACTAACTACAATATGAATTTGAATTTGGGAGGTAGATTTGGTTGCAAAATAATACCTTTCTAAGGAACCCGCGGTAACTGAGGGAATTGCAGACCCGCGGTAACCCACAGACTATTTTTAGCTTAAGTTATATTCTTCTTTTTATTTTCTATCAAGAATTTGCTTGGATCTATGTTGGATCCAATTTAAGGTAAGTGATACTTGGTCCACTTTATTCCAAAAGAAAGGCCCACTAAGCATCATGGCCCAAATTTTGTGTTGACGTTGTTGTTGGGTGATTGACAAAAATGGCCCCGTAATAGGCTGGTCTTAGACGAATGTCTCAAAAATTGGCGGTATTTTAAAATGGCTCCCGACCCGCATACAGTTATTGTTCTTTAATGTTTCTCTGCTAGATTGATAGAGTTTATGCTATATTTACTATACCTATCTGTTAAGTTGTTAATCATGTCTGCTGAGTTGGCATGATTTTGCTTTTCGGGGACTACTTCTCTTCCGGTTTGGTAGAGTTTAAGTTTTATTTATTCTTTCTATCTGTAAATTGCTCATCGAAGTCTACTTTATTGACATAATTTTTCTGTATTATTTTAACAAAATATTCTTCGAATTTATAACTTCATTTTCGATCAAACTATCCTAAATCTGCTCTAAATGACCTCAAATTTGAAACAAAGCTTCCAAATACCAACACAAATAATCCACACTCATCAATTTAGTCGAATAGCACCAAATCAAAAAGACACACTTTGTCTTCTTCAACACGTTCTAAGGTCAAACAATGGAGTTTTGAGCTTTTTACAGTAAATTATTAAATTTGTATTTGACTTTAAAATTTAAGAATAAATTATCATCATTCAAACGATTTTAAAAATAATGGATTATTAACCTTGTACTTTCCATCACCAAATAAGAATTTTAAGTTTTAAATATTGAAGAATTATGATATTTAAGTAAAAATTAAGGACATTTCACTAAGATAGTAAAAAAGGGAGATATTCAGCCCGTCCCATTGGATCCTTATAGTATTAATTTTATGCACTGAAGTCTAAACTAGTCACGTGAAAAAGATATTTTTCTTCATTAGTCATATCAAGTACTCACTGTCCCTTTTGGTACGCCACAATTATTGTTTGAGAAGTCAAAGTCTTTATCTATAATCTTCTTAAATATGTCTTAAATGCTTCTAATTAAACTATTAAACACTTGTAGAAGGTAAAAAAAAATTCTATGTAGCTACCAAATATGCAAACTTTATTTTGAAACATTTGAGTTATGAATTTTAACAGTTACCTTCATGTGTATATAACTTTCAAATTGTCACTAAAAACTTATTTGATCTGAGCCACTTGTATATTCTAGTAACCACGTATATATTAGTAATATTGTCTTTATCAATTTGACAGGTTTATTCTACCTTTTTTTTTGGTGAATGGCACGGGAGTAATAATTTTAAAAAGTAATAAATACTTATAAGATAGGCTACAGAAACAAGATATTTTGAGACATTTTATTCCTTGCAATATCACCGAACATACGTTAATTCGTCGTAAAGTTACACGAAAAAGAAACGTTAAAAGTAATATTGAGGTAATATAGGGAACAACAAGGCTCAACTTTTTTCTTCTCTCTATGAGATATTGTGGAAAATTAAAGGTCGAAACACCAGGCTATTTGCTCTCTTGTTACAAACTTACACGAACCTTGACTAGTACATCAAGTACCTGCACTTCAACCATAAGCACTTCCATTTAAGTTATGTATAAAGAATACACCGTATACAGTCAAATTTCTCTATAACAGTCTCGTTTGTTCCAGATATTTGTGGATGTTATAGCGAATTGCTATTATAGAAACATATACTATAACAGAAAATGACATTTGGTTACGAAAAAACTTGATTTTATAGTGAAATGTTGTTATATAAAAATGTTGTTATAGAGATATCTCAAGGATATAACCCCGAACGGATTCATCCGATCCTGGACCCCGTAGCGTTTACCTAGATAAAAGTAAATACTCTTGGTGTAATATTTTCTGCTTAGACATATAAAAAAATAAGAAAAACCAATTATTTCGCAGGAAAATATTTTCGATCATACAAAATACAGCCATAACGTAGCTTACTCAACAATGTGGAATAACACAACATTTAAAGAGATCAGCAACGAAAATCTGTCCAAACAATGAAGACCAACAATAGCGCTCGCTATACACAGCAACATTCAGTGCTTTACAGCAATTTTGATTTTCAACATCAGTATTACAGTGCGCTAGAGCTTCATGCAACGGCCCAATATTACTCACGGGGCCGCCAAAAACGCCGCCGTAATCTTGCTCAAAGGCTCCTCCGCCGCCGTATCCCCGACTAGAAGCTACAACAACACTAGCCATTAGAATGGCTAAACTCAAACCCATTTCTTAATTCTTACTTCCTCCGTTCTAATTTATGTGAACTTGTTTGACTGAGCATGGAGTTTAAGAAAAAATGAAGATTTTTGAAATTTGTGATCCTAAACAAGTCAAAAAGGGGTCCAGAGTATTTGTGTGATTATAAAAGCTTCTCATTGAGGGTATAATTGTAAGTTTAAGCAAAATTATTTCCAAATTTAGAAGGGGTCATTTTTTTTGGAACAGACCAAAAAGGAAATAGGTTCACATAAACTGAAATGGAGGGAGTATTATTTTTCTCTTTCTAAGGTTTAAGACTTGAGTTCATACTAATATGTACTAGTGGTATATATATAATCAGAGAAAGAAAGAAAGAGTTGAAGATGAAAGGAAGCAATTAACTCATGCATAGATCTCGAGAGGGTGGGCAAAGTTTAAACTTTTGTTTATTGGTTAATTAAAGAATGATGCAGTTTAAGAATGGTGCAGGAACGTAACTGAGCAAGTTTTGAGTTTTAAATTGGAAAATATGAGTAGGTTTTCATGTAGATAAGTAGATTCATCCGACATTATTCAGGATTTAATTTATGTGCACGGACATTAATGTACGAATTTTTATATTATTAATATAACTTAATATAAGATAGTAATTAAATTAATTACATTTTTATCAAGTTACCAAGTACTGTGTTCATAAAAGAGATCTATATATATGTAATTGGCTAATTGCTTTATAGGGAATCTCATTGTGCTTATTTGTTTCTCTAACAGTTGTAAGGACCGATATTTTATACTGACAATGAATGTTATAACAAATTATTCATATCATAAAAAATTACTTATAATTCTCTCTGATTGTGTAAATATATTTTATACTATACTTATAAAGGTCTTTTTACAATAAATGTGTAATAAATTTATAGCAAGTCACTACTAGAAAATTGCGAATCGGTTGTAAAATTGAAAAAACCAATCGATTTTCGATCGACTTTAATCCGTCAAAATAAGGCTGGTCGATAACAAATAGCGATTGAAGTCGGTTGCAATTTTTGACCGATTCGGATCGGTCAATTAAATTTCACAAACGACCAAAAAAGAAAAAAATTGCCGAAAAAACCGAACGAAGTCGGTCAGTATTTCCAACCGAAGACAGTTGGTATTTTTAATTATTTAATTAAAAAAAATATGTCTGAGAATTGAACCAGGGTCTGTACTGTAGTATGATATTATTCTACCGCTACACCATTGGTACATTTTGGTTTAAGATTTTATTTTATTTTATTTGTACTCTTTAATTGCATTTTCGCGCAAAAATAACCTATCGATTTCGGTCGATTTTATTAAAATATAAAATTACCGACCGTAATTGGTTGATTTTTTAAAATGACCAACCGAAATAACCGGCCGATTTTAGTCAATTTTTTAAATATTAATTTTAATTTATTTTACATGAAAAATCGACTAAAGTTGGTTAGTTTCTTAAAAAATAAATTTCGCTAGACGCCAAAATAGTTTTCCGTATTTTTGCGTCAAAAAACCAATCGAAGTTAGTCAGTTTCGTAAAAAAAAAAAAAAATTTAAAGCAAAATATTTTAAAAAACTGACCAACACGGTCGGTTTTGACCGAATTTCTAGTAGTGAGTTACTAGGGCCATGTTACTAATTAGAACTCGGAAGCTAATAATATCACAGCGCACTTATATAGATAAGTGCTTTCCGACGGATTCATATAAATCCGTCGAACATAGCTAATTACCCCACGAACATAATGCTTTCTTCTTTATGTTTTCTGGACTTCCATTTTCTCCTTTCTCAAGTGATTTCCGATAGAATGTATATAGGTTGGTAATCACTAATATATTGGTAATTGTCTTTATCAGTTTGACAATTAGTTTCTTCCACATTTATTTCTTAATGGGATGGGAGTTATGATATTTTAAAAAGTAATAACCTTTAGGCTAAAGGAAAAAAAACAAGAAAATTTAGACATATTATTCCTTGCAATTAGCATCGAACAAATATTCATTCATTATAAAGTTACACGAAAAAGAAACGTTACAAGTAATATTGAGGTAATATAGGGAACACAAAGACTCAACTTTGTTTTTTCTTTTCTTTCTATAAGACATTGTGGAAAATCAAAGGTCGAAACACCAGGCTAGTTTCTCTCTAGTTAGACAAACCTTGACTAGTCCATCAAATACCTGCAATCCAAAAATAAACACGTGCATGTAAGTTACGTATACACGATATACAGTCTGATCTCTCTATAACAACATCCTTATATAACAACATTTCACTATAGAAATCAAGTTTTTTCGGAACCAAATGTCATGTTTTGTTATAATATATGTTCTCTATAACAATAATTTTCTATAAAATAAAAAAATATTCGGAACAAACTATAATGTTATAAAGAAGTTTGACGGTATATGGTGCAATTAGTATTTTTGAGGGATACAAACCCGAATGCACCCATTTCGTCCCCCATAATGTTTGTTTAGAGAAAAAGTAAACGTTCTCGGTATGATATTTTATGCTTACTAACTAAATAGAGTCACATTCAGGATTTTAGGAAGAGGTGTGTACTATTACAAAGAGATAGATCTAAATATAAATTTTACGGGTTCAACCTTCAGTTCTTACTATTGCACCCATTACATTTTAGAATTATAAGTTCAATTTTTTTTTTTTAAATTAGTAATTTTCTTACACCTATATTTATACTCCGTGTCTAAAATATTAGAATCAATTCAACTTATTGGCTATATGCTACATAATCCATTGCTACAAGTTTTAAATACATATTTCATTTAACCATATAAGATTTTAGAGTGACAAAAGAAAAATATGAATTTTAATGTGTGAACATTTTGAAAGAATAAACTAAAGAAAAAGGAAAGAAAAAACGACTTAAATTAATACACAAAAAATGACATCAGACATGTTCATCTCCGGCAGGCACCTAGTTCTAGGAAAACAGAAAATATATAACATATTGACATAAGATTGAAACCATAATTATTTAGAGAACTGCATGTAATAACCATCGAATCATATAATACTTTGAGTTTGATGCGCATACATATATTTAATTATTTTAAAAAAATATATAATATTACTTTACATGATTTAGGGAGGAAAGTATGAGTTCACGTGTTCTTTGGGACGCCCTAGATACGCCCTTGTAACTAAGCATATAAACAAATAAGTAAAAATCACTTAATTTGCAGGAAAATATTTTCCAGGAATGTGGTAACTTACTCAACAATGTGGCATAACACCACACTTGAAGAGATCAGCAATGAAAATCTGTCCAAAAAGAGAAGACCAGCAATAACGCTCCCTTTGTACAGCAGCATTCAGTACTTTACAGCAATTTTGATTTTCAACACCACCATTGCAATGAACCAAAGCTTCCTGAAAATTGATTGCTTCTCCAAAAGCTCCATTCACACTAGAAGCCACAACAATACAAATCAACAAAATGGCTAAACTCAAACCCTTAACTGCCATTTCTCTGATCTTAATTAGCTTTCTTTTTCTGAGGTTTATCACTTACTACTATAGCTCACTTTTGTTTATAGGGTTTATGATTATACAGTGGTTAGTGGTATATATATACAAGAAAAGAGTTGAAGTATGGGGAAGCAATAAATGCATGCATAGATCTAGAGAGCGTCGGCAAGTTTTTAAAGTTTTGTTTATTTGGTTAAAGAATGATATGTAGACATGTAGTTAAGTATGGTGCAGGAACTTAGCAAGTTTTCAGGTAGTATGGAAACTTCCTATATAATTAATGGGAGCTTTACATAAATAGCCGGCTGAATTTATTATTTACTTTTTATACCGGTAAATATAAATTACACATTCATTATATAAGGTTATACATATTATATACATGGATTATACAAATATTACATATCCACCAATTATCTTTTCTTAAGCAATTGGATGTGCAACTCTTTAGGTTAAAGGCATTTTTACACTACTAGTGTAATTTAGGAAATATTACGCGACCATCGAACATATACATTATAATTGTCATTCGTAGATATATTTGAATTTTATAACAAATCCATGGAACAAGAGATCAATTGTTTTGAATTAAAATATGAGAGTAACAAGCTCCCTTTCAATTTGCAGCAATCGTCTTGAGTTCGACTCTCAACAAAAGCATTATATTTTTCTATATTTATGGATTTTGCCTTGATTGTATTCGTTGCACGGACGAATACAGTCGATACAAATTGTATTCTTTGTATGCACCCATGTATGTCGCCTTGATTGTATTTGTTGCACGAACGAATCCAGTTGATATATACAAGTTGTATTCGTTGCACGAACGAATCCAGTTGATACAAATTGTATTCGTTGCGCGAACGAATACAGTTGACACAAGCTGTATTCATTGCGCGTCTGAATACAAATGATACAAACTAGTAACAATTGAACAATATCTACGAATGATAATTAGGCAAACTATAGTTACTAGGCTCTAAACTATAGTATCTTAAAATTCCTCTATAGTTTAACTTATGTTATTAAATTAATAAGTTATCATTTTTACCAAGTTACTGTCTAATATTTATTATAGAGATTTGCATATATCTTCTTAACATGTTAAAATTATACTGATAACTATATTAAAAGTGAGCTAATTATATTTTTTTACACGGCCGAATGAGAGTGGATAGAACTTAGACTTGGTCAAAAAATTGATCTTATATTATAGTAAGATTAAGTATTCGGTCCAATTCTTAGAAAGTTAATAAGCAAAGAGAGTGAATCTTGAAATATTCTGTTCCCTTGTAGCTTTCTTAACGGATTGGCAAGATTTCGGAGTAGTTTCGATTTTATTATTTATTATTATATATTTTCGGGATTTTTATTATGGTTAGATTGGATCAATGGATCTTGTCTCCTAGTCAGTTGACTAATGGTTGAAATAAGTTTTTTTTATATATATATATCATGCCAAAGACTACTAATTTTTTGTAAGTTGTGCTAGTGTAGCATATGCAGCGCACGATTGGGATCTCAATTCTCATAAATTGATTCTCTTTTTGTTTCGAGATTTTACACAAATAATGGGTCAGATTTACATTTATTTTTCAGTCAATATTTATGTATATATTATACATAAATTATATTTATATTATGTATTCATTGACTATTTTTAGTTTAAGGAAATTAAGATAATTCTTCTTTTGTTTTCTTTGCTTTTCCAGTTACATTCATGTATTGGCAGATTATAAGTTCTTGAACAATTAGATGGTAACCACTAACCTGCATATTTTTTCCTACCAAAAGAGCAAAGATTAAAACAAATTTCTGGGAAAAGACCATCTTGATAATCTCATTATTTTAGTTATCATTTTCTCTTTCTAAAAGAATTGATGAATTCAGAGTACGAGGGTCGAATTTTATGACTTTTTCTGTCTCAATTCAAATATCGATTTCTTAATTTCTTAATAATAACATTTGGATAATTAGACCCTATATACATCAAATAACACTTTTAATAATCAAAGATATTTAAACAACATAAGAAGTTGTAATAAAAAAAATGTTTTATTACTGAAATGATAACAGTGTCATGTAAAATGTAATAAAAATATTTTCTTGGATATATAATGAACCTAAATAGTCGTTCATCTAATCGCTTAAACTAAAAATAGTTTTAGGATGTAAAATATATGTATAATCCATATATAATATATGTATAATCTATATATATACCGGATAAAAATGTAAAAAATGATCTTACCGACTATTTATGTAATAATCTTTTTTTTCTTAGAATCAAACGCCTGAGTCACACTTCAATTATCCCGGCGGCTAGAAAATGGAGATCCACTCAAATGCTTGTTGGGTTCAACACAATTTCAACAACAACAACAAACACAATGTAATTTCACAAGTGAGATCTGAGAAGAATAATATGTACGCTGTCTTACTCTTACCTTGTTCAGATAAAGAGGTTATTTCCGGTAGTCACTGAATGCAGTTTCAATCCTTATGAAAAAGAACATTTAAATCCAAATGAATTCTTCATTGATAATTTGGGCTCAAGTGTAAAATCCATGTATAGATGTTACCTGGGCTTGAAGTTTAACGAGTCTAAAAGATGACCGAGCTTGCACTACCAAGCCCGACTCTTCTTCTCCTAATAGGTGAAAGGTGAGTTGCACAAACACTTTTGATTTTTGACCATAAAGGTTTGCCCATAGGATAAGCGGGGTTAAAAAATCAAGACCATTCATTTTCAAGGTGAATGTATTGAATTCAACGATGTCCTAATAAGTGAATGTATCGAATTCTACGATCACCTCTAATATTATAAATTATTGAGAGAACTATAGAAATAACTACAAATAGATACTACTTAACAATAATTAACCACTAACTCATGCTACCAAAAAATAGTCAGAAAATATTACCAGTGATATATAAGATTTAAAAAAATTAGGTAAAAGAGGATTTTCTTTTCAATGAGTATGATTGAAATTCGTCGAAAACACATAAATGAGGCAATGTACAAAACTTGAGGAAGACTGGAGGTGATTTGGACTAGTTTGGAGTCAGATTCATTATCAATGTTATACAACATTAAAAAATTCTAGGCAAAAAAAAGATTATTTTTATCTATGGGTATGGTTGAAATTCGTTAAAAATATATAGATGAGGCAATATATAACATTTTGAGGAAGATCAGAGGTAATTTAGACTAATTTAAAATTAAAATTCGTAGTTGAAATCGAGTTTTATAATTTTTTTGCGACATATATATCTAACACACAAGTATACATGGATATACAAGAGATATCGGGACAACATATTTGATATATACAAATGATACACGGGGGATATACAAGGGATACATATTTCATTGTTTTCCACGTTCATCTTCTACTTCGAATTTGATTCAAATTTCAATTCTACTCACTTCAAATCTCTACCAACTCGTCTCAAAATTGAGATTCAAACTCCTTGAGATGTACCCAATCAATTTCGACAACACACACTTGAAATAAATTACAATTTCAAAATTTCAAAATTTTAAACTCAAACTTAAGCGAGCTTCAATGAATTTTAACAGAGTTTTAGCTCATATCTTCACTTTTCAAGCAACAAATCAATCAAATCAAAATAAACATAATCTAAGAGATATATATTGTGATGACCTAAAATGTAATCTTTAAATTTAATAAGTAATTTTGTGTTCTAAGACCTCGAAAAGTAACATTTTTAATTTCTCGACTTGCGTGCATAGTCCGAAAAAAATTTCGGAAAGTTTTCATGTGAAAATGGATTAAAATGTGAAATAGAGCTTTAAAACTCAACTAAGTTGACTTTAGTCAATATTATTAGCAAACGGACCCGGATCAGTGTTTAGACAATTCTGGTAGGTCTGCATCGTGATTTGGGACTTGGGCGTATGCGCGAAATCGAATTCCGAGGTCCCTAGCTCGAGATATGGAATTTTGATAAAAAAATTAAAAGCTTGAAAGCTTAATGATTTTTAAGAATTTACTGATGTTGGATTTATTGACAACTGGTCCGTATTTTGGTTTCGGAGCCCGGCACATGTCCACTATAATATTTATGACTTGTCTGCCGAATTTGGTGAGAATCGGAGTTGATTTACGTGATTCAGACGTCTGGTTGTAAAAATATAAGTTTTAAAGTTTTCTTGAAAACTTTCTTTGATTTGGTGTCTGATTCGTATTTTTAGGTGTTATTTTGGCGATTTGATCGAGCAAGCAAGTTCGTATGATGTTTTAGAACTTGTGTGCATGTTTGGTTTGGAGCCCCGAGGCTCGGGTGAGTTTCGGATAGGCTACGGGATGATTATGGACTTAGGAAATCTGGTTTTCTGCAGACTTTGGGCTTCTGGTATTTCCTTCATCGCGTTCGCGAATGTACTCTCGCGAACGAGAAGAACAAACTAAGCTGGCCGAATTTTCCTTCTTCGCGAACGCGAATATTGGACCGCGAACACGAAGCTATGGGGACTTTACCCTTCGCGAATGCGACCAGCTCAATGCGAACTTCGCAGCTTTAGAGGCCTGGGGGAGGGGTCAGTTGTCCTTATACGCGAACGCGAGCACTGGCACGCGAACGCGATGGCCAGGGAGGAAAAAGCCTTCGCGAACGCGAAAGCCACAGGCTGCTACTCATCGCGAACACGACAAGCCCTTCGCGAACGCGAAGAAGGCCTGACCCATGTGACTTAAAACAGAACCAAAACAGGATTTTCCCATTTTTCACAAACCCTTAATTATAACTCGGCTTAGGGGCGATTTCAAAGGAGTTTTTCACGATTTCGAACTGGGTAAGTGTTCTTTATCATATAATGATTGTATTTCATAAATCTAAGCCTATATTCATCATTTATTTCGGATTTAGGTGGAAGAAATTGGAATTTTTGAAAACTTTTCAAAAACGAAAAATTTAGATTTGAAGGTCCATTTGATATCGGAATTGGATAATTTCTGTATGGTTGGACTCGTCTCAGAATAGGTATTCGAATTTCGTAAGTTTTTCCGAGATTTGAGATGTGGGTCCCACTACCGAATATTTTAATAAATTTCGAATTTTTATCTGG